AATAAAAATTAATAAATCTATTTTGTATTGTTTGTTTGAATTTTCTGATTGATGTTTAACACTACAATTGATCAGTCTGTAATAGGCACCCAGCTAACGAGTCCCGAATAGGACAAAACGCGCGTCTTAGATCCCAACGCCAGCCACAATCCATCTTTGCTTACAATAAAAATTACTGTTTATATTTTTATTATTTTTAAAAAATTGTTAACAACGACAAAAAACGAATTATCCCTTAGAAACATATACTAGGATGAAATAGCTATTCAGTAATTCCTCGTTTTCAGTAGCTCCTAGGTATACAATTTTAGAAAGTTCCACAAACAGCATATGGCAATTTTTCATGTGTTTACTGGTTACTAACTTCGGGGTGCAATTCTAGAAGTTCTAGTGAGGAGCTGTTACCTGTAGAGCTTTACCATGTCTAGAGTGTGATTGTTATCCACCATAAGCAAAAATGATTGAAGCTTAATGTATATACAACTGGATGCTAGGTCAGAAATCGAGAGGCCAATTGTCAATAAGACCGAAAACCCCGGGTTCGATCTCTTCTAGTAGGATCGTATATGTACAATGTTGAGGAATTCCAAACTAGGACAAAATAGATGTCTAGTATTTCTTGGTTTTAAGTGGTTGCTTAACTAAGATTATTCCGTAATAATAACTATCGTTTAATCAAAATTATTGTTGTCCAACTAAGTCCGTAATTTTTATCTTCGTAATCATACAATAATCTTCATATTTCAAATAATTACTTGAGGTTGCTATAGTTCGTTTAACTTCTTTAATATATGGTCTTCATTTAACCATAACATTATTCAACCATGTATTCTAAACGTCAATAGACGAATTTTACCAAACATCTGTTGTTAAATTATGTCCATCAAGCAGTTTTATTCCCAAATAACATGTTCATCAATCTAATTTGAATAGAAACAAATAATAAAAATAATTTTATATTCAACAATGTGTCATACAGATTAAGTAGATAAAATAATAATGATCACGTTAGAAAGAAATTGAAATCACTGGGAGTTGATTGCTTAAGAAAGAACTCATCAAAATTTTCTATTCAATTATTGATTAAAAATGAAGATTAGAAATTTTTTAAAAAAATATCAACAGGAATCATTTCGAAATTATTTCAGGATTTCAACGGCAAGATCAAGACCTTCAGTAAACACATGTAAATTGCTTAACATGTATTTTTAATATCAGATGGGTTTTGTGGATATTACAGTAATTTCAATGGTTAAGAACATGAGTCAGTTGAGGCTTTTTTAAAACAAATTCTAGTTTGTGTATTAGTTTATCAATTCTTATGTATAAATTTAATTTGATTATGACAAAAGTATTCTTGTAAATATTGAAACTTATCTTAAATTTCGAGTACGGGTTATAGAACCACATTTCACCTTATTTATTATTTTTATACACACACCACTACTTTATATCACAATTGCATACATTTTTCATACCCACATTCTGACACTTGAATTAATACAGTGACAGGCCATACAAATTGAAATTGACCAAAAATTACCTGACATTGATATATTCAGACTTATTATGATGATTGTGCTAAAAATACTTTGCATTGTTTCATTTGCACTATTTAAACTTGTGTTGATTTAATTCCTTTTATTGAGTTACTCTGAAGAAGTGGCTTACATTAAGTCACGAAACGACATAAACACAATTTTTCTAATGACTGAGATATAACAAAAAATATATTAATTATTATTTAACACGGTTTAAAAAAATTCAAAAAAATGACTATCAATCTAGGTTTTTTCTAATTCAGTATCATTCTAATTGTTAAAAACCGAATTTTATTAAACATAATAGTTTAAAATATCCGTGATTCTTATATATAGAGGTGATTTATTCAAGAACATAAGTTTGACAAGAACATTATTACAAACTAATGCTCATTACAGAAAGATTGAAATCTATTAAGATTTCCGTTTCAGTACTGTGCTCGGTATTAGATCGTATCTCTGAATTTAAACTGGGTTTCAAACGTCTGAGAACACAAATTGTGATCATTCGTGAATTAACACTAGGTGAACTAGTCAATATTTCAGTGAAAATTTGTCGAGTGAGTTGAGTAAATTGGAAATAAGGCAGTAGTTTGTTGTTAACAGTGGATGAATATTTTATTTTATCACAAATTTACAAAATATTTTCAAGTTATGTGGTAATTAATCAATAAAGTAATAGATGCTTGTGGTTGAGATCTATTCAACTTGACGGGAATAAAGAGATGTTGAATACTTCTTGGTATTGAATAGTATTATGTATTTATAACCATTTTATTCTTACTGGTAGCTCATATATTGTTAGCTGGATATTTTTAAAAGTTACATAACGTCGAATGAAAGTAATCAAATATGGCTGAGGTGGTACTTTGATACACTGAATGAATCAGATAGAGGCCAAATGTTAAGCATATTCTGTCGGGCAAGATTTACCTTCCTTTCTAAGGAACGAGACATAAGCAATTGGTTGAAATGTGACTTTATTTTATAGGGGAAAACATGTATATTTTGTAAGGTTGGATGTATTCTTCTGTTGGGTTCGAGGATTAAGGCTTCTCTCTCATTTCTGGTTTTCTGATCCAAGTAGTTTACTGGTCTCACATACAAGAAGCTAGGATATGAGTTGCAAAATCGGATGGTGGCACAACATAACACATTAATATTAAACTGAGTAAGAAAGATTAAATGACAAAATTATTATCGTAGCAGTTTGTAATTTTCATCCCTAAAAGAATATTTTTATCAATCTTTCTGTATAAGCGAGTGATTTCAACCTAAGGAGTGATGATAGGTAGTCGTCCATTAATAAATAATAATATCGTTAACTAAATAATTTATTTCTGGGACAGTTTATATCACAAACCATCATCACTTGAAAAACCACTGAACACTAGAAAATGACCAACAGTTATTTTGTTCTACATTCTCAAACTCTCTAATAGTATGATTTCATTGCCACACCAAGGATGGAAGATCGGACCTTCAGTTCATTGAATCGCAATCTACTAGTTCATATTATTTAACTATACATCTTTGAAATAAAGGTAGTTTGTTTTTTAAACAATTTGCTTCAATCTAAAAAATATTGTGTGAATATTGGGATGGAGTAGGAACGTGAGATCATTTTTAATTCAGTGTGATATTTTGTTCAGTATAATGTACACTTTATTAAAGTGTACGATTCATTCAATGTGGCATTCGCATTATTAATTTAGCATGAAATGACCTAAGTTTAACGTAAAACTTAGGTTTTATAGTGATCCTTTGTAAGTTTAATGTAGATATTACCCTTTATTTAGCTTAAATGTGATATTCCCTAATAATTCATTAAAATATCAATAAAATAGGTATAAAATTGGTCGTAATCGGTGGAAATAGTTGCTCTTTTAGGGTGATTTAAATGATTATCTACCATGGACTTTGTCTTCCTTACTATATTTTACAAATAACAGTGTTTTTTCCATTCAAAGTAAAAACTTTGTACAGTCATGACAGTTTATTGTATGTTTTATAATTTAATGCCTATTAAAACGTTCGGATCATCTTTTTTTAAATTCCAGTATTGCTGTAATTGTCCATCCTTTGTCTTTTTCTGTTTGAATCGAATAATTATGAATGCATACTGTGCATACTCATACTGTATCCTGAGTGAATTACACCTTTCGAAATGTTAAATAATGGAAATCTCAAATAAAAATACTACAAGTCATATTCGCCTGCTTATTTACACTTTGGAAAAGTGAAACGAATATGTTGGAATTCATCCATTCAACATTTGATGGATGAAAAAAGGCAGTCTTAGTAACAAAATTGTTAATGAACTCTTTATTATGGATGAATAGCAGATACCGCACTATAGAATAATCGTAGTTTTTTGGATAATAACAATATGAATATAAATTAAAGAGGAATTTACTTGCATATTGTCTAATCAGTCTTCAAAATTCCTTACTATAACAATTCATGGTAATAAATTAAGCCATTATAAGCAAATATGGATGATGGCAAGCAGTGGGAACCGGAATGCGTCTTTTGTCCTATTCGGGACTCATCAGATGGATATGACTGTATTCTAGAGTTGATGTTCACTCTAGAACTCAAACCCAGTACTGTTCGCCTCAAACACTATTGCATTATGCACTCAGCCACTTAAAGGACGAAACGCGCGTCCTGGATTCCACTGCTAGCCATCATCCATCTTTGTCTATAATGTTTGTGTCTTAAGGCAATATTGGGGCAATCTGCACAGAATGCTAATTAAATGCCAATTACAGATTGATCAATTGCAGTGTTAAACATTAATGTGAAGATTCAAACAAACAATATAAAATGAAATTAAGCTATTGCTATTGATAATAGTGGAATACAAAATAACTTGTTAGAAAAATGAATTGGATCTTTTGATCAACAAAGAATTCATTATTATGCATCATAGTCTTCATCAAAATGAATCATTTCTTCAAATCTACACTGAATAGTTACTGTAAACGATTTGTAATTTTATTAATAATAATAATAATAATAAATTAATATTGATATTAATAAATTACGTAACTAATTTTTTTAAAGTTTTTTAGATCATTAAATGAATTACAGTTTAACAGATAAATTTATGAAATACCATAGAATTAAGGTAATATCGAGGCATACGCACAGTATGCACATATGCCAATAACAGACTGATCAATTGCAGTCTTGAACCTCAATGGGAAGATACAAGCCAAACAATACCAAGTGAAATACCATAGTATTTAAAATAATATGACCGCCAATAGTAAAAATTATAATTTATGTTTGACGAATCAAATTTCAAATATGTTTAATTGGTTGAAATTTCTCCTTACATTCCTGATAAATTATATATTATCATTTAATTGACTGAATATTTGAAAACATACTTAGCTTCTTCTCATAAATGATAACTCAGAAAAGAAAAGATTTTCTTTCAAATTTATTATAATGCAATCATCAAATTTAAATAGTCTCATTGCTAAAGAGGAAGAAAATATTCAAAAACTTGTTTTAAAAAAACTATATTCCAACATTAATTATTATCAGTTGTTTTCTTGTGTGTATAAGTATTTTTGGATTAATTGGTAATTGGTTAGTAGTACATACAATTGGTCGTCATATATTTAGAAGATTCTTCAAGTTATTAGAAAACTGTCTACGTATTCTTTGTAATTGTTCAAGATGTAAAACTCAACCAGAAATCCCTATACAAAACCAAAAACGTTCTCAGTACCGACAAGATATTTGTCAACAGCGATTGAATCCTTATCTTGATGTATGCTTATCAAGAACTTCCAGTCTTGTGCCAATTAGTCAATCGTCTAATTCTATCAGTAATAATGAATTAAGAAATCAAGGCAATAGTGTAACAAGTGTCAATAATACTTCAACATTAAATATTCACCAATCGATGGAAACAGGAAATGATTGTACTAAAAACAGGGAAACTACGAAAAAATTTATTTTTACAAAACGTACTGCCATGCACACAGATCTCAACTCTGATCTTCTCATTGTCCTTCTTGCAATAAATGACTTGATTATCTGTGTTATTGATATACCGACAACAATCTTTCTGATTGTATGGGAAACTAGAACATATGACTTTATTTGTAGACTACATGTGATCTTAAAATCATTCACTCTAACTGTTTCTGCACTATTTTTGGTTATAATTGCCTTGGACCGTTGGTTGTTAGTTTGTTTTATACCATGTGTTATAATGACAAAAAAGTGTATGAAGAGGCTAATCGTTGGAACATATATCTTAGGAATACTATGGGCAATACCAATGGGATTACATCAAGGTGTACACACTTATTTTAAAATTAGTACAGTTGATAAACTTGTATCCAGTGATTCAGAAGCTATTTTCATGTTTATGAATCAAATAGTTTATTTAAAACTAACCAATCAGAATTGAATGATAGTATTTCTAACAGCTCATCAATGTCATCAGAAAAATCATCATTGGCTTATTTTACATCACAATTTATCGACCTAATATCATCATTTACAAATTATGGTTATTGTAAATCTGATGAACGTTTCATATCACAAAGTGATTATGAAATTTACCAATTGTCTATATTAATTTTATTCAGTCTTATTTTCACTTGCATTTGTATCTTTTACGGTTATTTATTTTTATTCATTATGATACATCAATATCGATGGAGAACAAAATTTGGACCTAAAATAAAAGTTATTGAACCAATAAATACTCCTTTAACTTCTCCAAAACATGATGTTATAATTAATAAACCAGTTAAACAATCTGATTTTATTTGTTTTAATCATAATAATAGATCAAGATTTTTAAGTGTACAATTAAATCAAATACATTTAAACAATGAACAAAATCAAAATCAATTTAATCATAGTTATAGTGATTCAACAATACAAATCAATTCACAATCTATACATTTCAATCAATTAAAATCAATAAAAAAACAAAATAAAATAAATCAATCTAAACAAATTATTTCAATTCAAAATAATAATAATAATAATAATCAATTAAAATATAAATCAATAAAACGAAATTTATTTAATTTATATAAAAAATCTAATCATCATCATCATCATCATATAAAATTAACAAATAATCGACATATAAAAAGTGCAATTACATTATTTTAATTACAGTTAGTTTTATTATATCTTATTTACCAAATTTATTAATTGCTAATCGATTTATTTGGCCTATCAATTGGGAATTATTAATGGAAACAACAAATCAATTACATTTAATATATAATTATAATATAATGAATAAAACAAATTCATTATTATATAATAATTCAATGACTACTGAAATGTATTTAAATAATCATTTTTATAATCATCAATTATATAATATAACAAATAATAATTTATTAATGAATAATTCAAATGAAATATTAAAAATTAAAATTAAATATCATTTAAGACGATTTTTTCATTATTTATATTTTATTAATTCTGCTGCGAATCCATTAATTTATTTTTTTTTAATTTAAAATTTCGTTTACAATTAAAATATTTAATTCATTGTTTTAATACATGTTTTAATACATCATAATTAATTTTGAATTACTATAATTATTTAATTCACATTGTAATATATAAGAATTATAGACGAAGATAATTATAGTGTTATTCTTTTCAATGGTTAAGACCATGAGTCAGTTGAAGCTAGACTACCATGGAAAACTGGAAGCATCTGATATTAATCAACATATGCTCACGAGTGATTGGCTTCACGAGGTATATCCTGGAGTTCTAGTGAGAAGTAGTGACCAGTGGAGTTCAACCAGGTCTGTTGTGAGATTGTAACTCACTAAAGACAATGGTGGATGTGTCGCTCAATTTCGTGGATTGGTTGAAGTTAAACAATAACACCGTTGTATGTTGGCCAGCTCAATGGTCTAGTGGTTAAGTGCTCGCACACGAAACCAGTAGGTTGTGGGTTCGAATCTCACAGGAGGCGAGATCGTGGACGTGTACTGCTGAGGAGTCTCACAATAGGACTAGTTGGTTGTCTAGTGCTTCCAGGTTTTCCATGGTGGTCCAGCTTTAACTGACTCATGATCTTAACCATTGAAATCACCATAATACCCATAAAAACCCATCTGATATATATTTTTTCTTTAAAAACACAAAAGATGAAATGATAGAATATCTTTATAAAATACGTAAATTTATACATTAAATACTTTATTTGTAAATTATCTGTCAACTGTTCTTAACTCTCCGTATAATTTTATTTTTCAATTCATAATTAATTTCTACTATCATTTTGATTTTTCCTTCAACTTGATCTTCTTAACCATCTGTTGACAAGCATTTCATTTGTGATTGATGTTATATATTGTTTAAATCGAAAGACATAAGAAATATACACCATAATACTAGTAGTTGACACATTTATTGTTGGTAAATATTATGTATAAAACATTAATAACCAATTAAATGAAGATAATTAAGGCATTATTATTATTATTATATTAGTTGTTTCTTACGTATTGATTTAAATTATTGAACCAAATGATTATTCAATATTTTTAAAAAGATAAATCAATAAATGGATAAATGTATATCGTTATTGACTTTTTTTCTTCATTTAAAATATATTATATACAAGTAGTCCAATGCCAGTGTATTTTGCTATACATGATATCAATGTAGCAACTGTAGTTGTGTAAAATGTATGAAATAAAATTACTTGATATCTATTTGGAATGTATATTTCTGTGTACTAAAACATGTTGTTAAGTTAGTTTTTTTAAATTGAAAATGTAATTTTTACATAGGTAACAATAATGGTTATTTTGTGTATTTTGATAGATTTTATGATTTCATTGATTAAGCTTTGTCATTTATGATTATGATGATACTGTGAAAATGAAATAAAAAGAATGTTTTGTTTAAAGTTTATTTTTTACATTTACTTGGTATAATAATTTAGTGTTTAAATATATAGAATTCTTTAGTTGTTAAAAACATGATTTGTTATTTAAATATCAAATGAATTGTTTATAATTTAATATAGTTTATTTCATAATAATGTATGTATAAACGTAAGAATATCTCCATATAATTAATACTATTATTTGTTTAAAACAATTAGCCCCTTTGATAAATTTCGATAATGCAATGAGAAGACGTAGTTTATCAGAATTATGTGATATATTTGCGCAATACATTTCGAACAATCTGATCACACATATACTTGTTAAGAACATTTATATATGAAAAATTAAAAGGTCAACTAGATAGGTTAAGGGTAAGTCATAACAAAGGAAAAATATTAAAGTACACAAAAACAAATGTGATTACCACTCTGGATAGTAAATCAGTACCACCAGGGTAGGTTAAGTGTAAGTACAAATTGTTTTTGAACACATAAACGGGGTTTCAATTTTCGTATAGCCAAGGCTTCAATAAACCTTAGTATACGTCCTTGAAGGCTTTTGTACAACACAATAAATGCTGATTTGATATCAACCTTATGACTCGTCTCAATCAAATGTTTCGCAATGGATGATGATATCTGTCTATCCTGTGATCTTATTTCACCATTGGAATTCATCTGATTTTGCAACCATTTTGGTATATGTTCACCCACCCTTAATTGCAAATCACGATTGCTCCTCCCTACGTACGTGTTTCCACACATACATGTAAACTTATAGACACAATGGGATGTGACACAATCGTTTTCACATAATTCTGATAAACTACGTCTTCTCATTGCACTATTATTTATTGTTATTTATTTGTGGTAAACGTTGTCATTAACAACATTCAACATAGGAACAGTTGGAGCAAAAAATGATCAAAATCCATGAATGCTTGTACTTAAGATAGATTTACTATTCTTCCTGATATTTCTTTTTTCATACATTGAAAGAATAGTTCTAACCTTTTATAACATTGATTCATCAATTGATAATTCTAATATATGATCCATTCAAATATTCAATGTTTTTTTTAAAATTAAAAAATAATGATACAGTAGGAAACCAGATTTTTCTAGAAAATAGAAAAACCGAAATATTCAATTATTTTAACATAACATATAGAATAACGTCAATGTATCTGATATGACAGAGTAAAATCTTAAGATTATCAAACAAAGTCAGATTGATCATTCACAAATAACCAATCGTTATATGACAGCAACCTTTCACCTCATGTTTTATAACTTTACATCTGTGTTAAAGAATATCAAAAGACAAAGAGTGGATTGTAATTCCAGGAAGAAATGTCATTCACTAGTTTTTTTCATGCATACATTTGTTTTGCAATTATTATACTTTAAAACTAAAAAAATATAACTTACATAGATTTTATACTGAATGAATTGAAAAACGAAAATGGTCATAATCTTATTCATGATTACTTCTTATCACGGCCATTTTATTTACTAGAAGTAAAATTATCAGCATTAAATAGAACGACAAAAGTGTTTTCTAAACGAAATACTAAGAGGTTCTCAAATTATTTTCTATTGTTACACATACTACTTATAGAATTGAAAGGTTATAGAAAGCTTTCTAATGTAACTAACTAATAATTTCATCATTTAACAATTAAAAAAATATGGAATAAGTCATTTTCTTAAAGTTTAAATTCATATCATTAAGAGATACCTAAAATAATGATTATTGGTTAAGTTTATCGTAAGTGTGTTGTGTACTTTTCATTTACATTTTGATAAATTTTGTTTAGAAGTGATAATATCTTATGGATTGGGATTATCGTATAAATTCCTTTTAATCTGTTATAACTTGTGGGTTTGTGCCCCTATCAATGTATAACGTAATGATACCGTCAATTGGAGATCAGCGGTTTATCGACCGGACCAACGACGTATAAAACCCGTACGAGCAGTCTATAGACTTTACCAGTCCTGCTTCATGCCTAGCTCTGTCTGTTAACTCCAGAACACCAATATCAGCCTCTGCGATGTAAATCATGTATTTCAAACATACTGGGTTTATATACAAACTGAATAGACCACATCGTACCATAAAATAAGAAATAACATTTGTACAAGATTTAGTCAAATGTGGATGTGAATGTGGGAGATAGTAATTGATAGACTGGGCATAACTCAAGAGTGGCAAATCGTATAATAATAGTTCATAGCTCAAAATAATGCTTATGATAAGAGGAACATGAATATGAATAACTACTTAAAAATTATACGGTAAATATATGTATACCTAATATTAGTCTAGAACTAGATTCCAACGGTTACCATTAATTATTCTCATCGGTATATAACATAATCATGATGAATATTATCCATTTTTAAGAGAAGATTCCAGTTGAAAATTGATTGTTATTAATCCGACTGTATTTTATTTAAGTGACAACTTATTAGACAAATCTAAACAAAATAACATTCTTTTATTCATAGTATCCTTTTGTTAACTTCTATTTTCAAATACTGTTACAACCATTTATGCATTTACAATTGTTACGAAACAACATTTGAGGTTGTAATAAACTATCGGAAGAAGAATGAAAGCTTCACGATCAAGCTATCCAACTCAAAGAATGAAACTCCACCATAAATGATCATATTAATCGAAACAAGATATATCATCGCTTACAGTTGACTGAGTTATTTCCCTTAAAAATTAAGAGAAGCTTACTGTAATCTATGCTTATCAACAAATGGAATGTTGGGATTTTGTTCATTGTTGATTACAGTAATATCAGTAACAGATAACATTGAATAATGTAAGAACTAACAGAGGAATTAGTAAGAACTTGAAAAAAAGCCGATACTACTACTGATATACTTCATTACGCCTTTTATTCCTACTGAAGCATAGGGCGCGGACCAGGATTCTCCAACCGACTCTGTCCTGGGCTCTGCGCAAGTAGACCTTCTGTATTACTGCGGTCCAAAGCCCAGATTAAGTGCGGAGTGTTGTGTTTAGAGTTAGCAACCCCATCCCGTACAACAAAACCTTGTCAAAAAACTCTAACTACTGGTATGGATTTTTCTGACAGTGAAATCGAACTCTTATTCACTACTTGTTCAATGGAGCAAAAATAAAATGGTTCAATGCAAATGAGAACGTAAGACAGTAGAAGCAGATTTATTCATGCACCAGCTATTGTCTCAGGACTGATTAAAATGATGTCGTAATTTACAATGTTATATATATATATATATATATATATATATATATATATATATCGTTTACTTAATCGGGAAATTAGTTAACTTGAAAATACTGAACTAAGCGGTAGCCAATGTTTAATAATTTGATGTATTTATAAATTAACGAAATCGATAAATGTCTTGCTTTGACTGAAAAAAATGTAAATAGATTACTGAATAGTGCATTTTGCTTCTTTTTAGTAGAACTTAATATAAACCAATATTTCAATAGTTAACTAGACGGTGGGAGAAATTAATTATCTCGATTCGGAAAAGTTAATAACAAGAAATCATATTTGTTGAGTAAACGTACTACTTGAGCAACAAATAAATACCCTAGCTTCTTAGACAAGTGCGACCAACTAACTCTGAAGTGGTTTTTCCTAGATGAACTGAGATTTTTTTGTTTGAATAAAGCCAAAATAACAATCGAAGCAGATTAACATGAATTCATTTTATTTCGCAATTTCTCTTCAGCTCCTTACAACCGTATTCTTGTTAAAATATAGCATTGAGGTATAACATAGTCTAAAGTTATAGGCATTGGCAAGGGAAAGAAATGAAGTAACAACCAACATTAGTAATAACTATATATGTGTCCGAAATTGATTAGATGGTTTACGTAATATTGATGGAAGGTTTTAGGAGCATACATGAGCTTTGAGAATCTAAGCAAACGCAAAACAGATGAATCGTAAAATAATTTTAGCTCAAATAAAGCAACAATCAGCTTAGCAAAGACTGAAAAACAAAAATAATATTCACAATAACAATATGAATAACAGATTTTACTCGAAAATATGAACATGCCAGAACAGTAATGGATTTATAACTGT